GACTTGTTAAGACAACTTTTTTTCTGAATTGGACGCAATTGAAAAGTCAGTCTTTAGTGATATTACTTCCGATCATCTCGGTTTAAAGATAACATATAGTTTCAATGTCAGTACTGAGCCGAACATAATAGAGTGTAGACCTATAACAAATGAGCGCGTTAATAATTTTAAAAATAACATTAGCGATAAACTTCCTTTAATGCCTTGGACGCATGATGATCCGGATATTTTGTGCAAAATCTTTTTAATTTAATAAATAATGAATTTCAAAATACTTTCAGACTGAAAACCATTAAATGTTGCAGTTCTGTGACTGGGCGACAAGTGGTATATATAAGAGTAGAACAAGGCTGTATGAGCTGTATAGAATCAAAGAATATAACCAGGATCCTGAGTTTATTAACTATGTTAGAAAATATTCCAAATTGTTTAAAAGCATAGGGGCCGTACATAAAATACGTTCGCATACAAGGGGGGGGGGGGGGGGGGGAGGGGTCTTGCTAAGTATGACAAGATCTGACAAGGGTGGACGGGGGGTCTACGGCAACGTGACGTTCGTCGTTCATTAAAAAATATTAAATTAGTATTTCTTTCAACTATTTTTCTTTCTCAATTTTCATCAAGATAGAAAATCATTTATTTCGTATTTAGTAAACATATAGACATTCAAACGTATATAGTTTTATTATACAATAAATTGTAACTTGATATATTTACTCATGTTTATTTTTCGACATTAGCGCTAGCTCTGTGGCGCTGCTCTAGCCTATTGACTTGACTCTAGCAGCGTTACAATTCGTGACAATCGATTTCTTTGTTTCACCAATACTTAACCTTCGAGGAACCACCCGCGCGCATATATCACACGTCTAATAAAACCTTACTACAGCATTTAAAAAATTTACATCCAAAACGGAAAAGAAAAGATGAAGTAGTTCGACGTATACAACCAACTCGCATCGCAGCTCGACGAGCTCGAGAGCTGTTATGCATATTAGGAGATGAAAAAGCTGGTACAGAAAATGCAGAATGGATAGATGACGATGAAGTGGACGGTAGTTTTGAATATGAAGAAGATGTTGCAATACCGATTATAGATATTTCAGCGCATTTACAGAATCCTTGGACTTCTGATTAATAGAAATAGATTTTTTCGAATTCGAAAAATCGACAAATATATAATAGATTGGGGAAAATGTCGGACTAGCCTTTCATGGTTAACTTGCAAAGAAAAGGCAATAATCAATTCACCTATTGATTCTTAAGCGCCACATATATATAGCTCTAGATTATATAGTCCACCTTTAATTACCCTGGTTCTAATTAATATACGGAACGTACCAAACGTCCTGCAGCATTATATGCTCAATTTTTTTATTGACGTTGGCTGTTGCTCTAATATTGCCCATTGCCCGTTGACTTCAATGGTTTGTCCGTTTATCGCAGTCACCGTATGCTCTTGAAGTACTCGAAGTTCTCGATAAAGTCGCCTCTATTAGTAACATGGCTCATGGTTCTATTATCAACATAACATTTCTCTTTATCTATTAACAATCCCTATTCCAAGGCTTACACTGTCAGGTTTACAATTGGTTTTTGACTGTTGATTGACATGCCGACTTTAGTGGTCGTCCATCGTTTATCCATATTAATAACACAAAAATATACAAAACTGAGAAAAATTAATGAATGTTCATATAAGAATTTCAGATTTCAAATTTAATATAATGTTGTTTTTTTAGTTGTAATAATATTTTTGGCCAGACTAAATACAGAGGCTGAAATCTTGGCATCAGAAATTAATAGTGATTGATTACATCAGATATTATTGCCGCGATACTGATGGCCCTATATACTATTTATAGTACTGACTTCAAACTTCTACTGATAACATGAACTTTTTTTATCAATGTCAGCCGCTTTTATCAGATACTCCTAAAGTTGATAAGTGTAATCGAATAAATTGATTCCTGTCCCATTAACCCAAGAAAACCCATAGCAAAACAATTGCGTTTTATTTATATAATAATTTGCAAATATACTGATTTTTGGTATTATGTACGAATAGTTACAAATGGTATATAGACATTCTTTAGTAACTGACTGACCAACCAGATAAACAAGTTGGGTGGTTAGGAATATTTATTTCTAATTTTTCCTAGTCTAATATTCATATGTTCCGTCTCCTTATATTTTTTATGTACTTGTTCTAAAGTTATCATTAATTATTTTTTTGATAATTTGATAAGTAAAAATTTTAGTTCTTTTCATTTTGTTTTTGACGCCGTTTCCCTTATTTCGATTAAGTAGGTAATATAGGATTTCTTAAACGAATTCTAAAGCATTAGTCTATTTCTTCGTGCAAAACAGCTACCATTTAAAAACACATCATATATTATGTAATCAATTTGCGAATATCGATGTGCGAAATGCTAGAAACGTTTATTGCATGTAAATGACTTTGAAACCAATTGTAAATGTCATTCAAATCTTTCTGTGTTTGACCCATGACTTCATTTATATTTCCGAAATAAAACAGGCAGTTGTCGTCTGCATATAAGGTAAGTTTTCCACGTAATTGAATTTGAGAGCTATCATTGATATAAATAAAAAAGAGCAACAGTCCTTGAATTTATTCTTGTGGTACTGCACACGTTAATATTAGGATTACTTTGACTATCATTAATCATAACGATTTGGTATCGGTCACTAGGGTAGGACTTAATGTTTTGTAAAGCTGTACCAGCAATGCCTGCTCTTTATGTTTTTTTTTTCAATCAGGAGATTGTGACTCACCGTGCCCAAAGCTTTTTGATGGTCGATAAATATTCCCAACACAAAGCTTTGCATTATCTATATGAGTTTTTATGTCCGTGGCCAAATCTTAAGTAGCCTAGAGTATTCGATTTAGGCATAAAGTCATATCGATTTTCAGTAAAAAAATAAAAGACGTGAGATATTCATCCTACCGCGAGAAAATAATCTTCTCTTTGACACTACTGGAAATTGTGCGATAGATGTTTGGATCTTCTTAAGCACTTTAGTTATGGACGGAAGTAACTTTTTCTAACTTTAATGAACTTGGAAAAGTACCTTAACATAATAATTTATTAAAACAGTCACTGAAATTTTGAGCTAAAAAAACACTGCCATGCCAATAAATTTGATCTGGTTTTTATTGATACTACTATGCCTGAACTAACAATTTCATCTTTACTAAAGGGCCTAAAGGATATTGGGAACTTTACTATGGAAAATACCCCACAGCGGACAGATTTGAATTCTATCTTATTTTAAAGCTTTAGCGACCTTTTGCTATGTTGACCTTGAACACATTTTTGTGACTCACGGGAATACAACAACAGCCTCTGTTTGTGTGAAAGAATACTTGAGATAGCATGTGTTTTCTGCGCCGCAACACAGTCACAAACAACATAACGGTTTTGTTTTTCCATTTCAACCGAAATCCAATAAATTATGCAAAATCAAATAATCTGTTAAACAAAGCAATAAGTAGTTGTTAATGCAGAATAAAGTTTAAAAAGCGTTTGGTGTATTGGGCTCTCAAGCAAGGTAGCAGAAAAGTTATTAAAGCATTTTTTTTGTATCCCCCTAGGCAAAGGGGTATGCGGAGGAGGTGGGTGTGAAATTCTCATGAATACCCTACAACCGGCTAATAATCATTCACTTTACTATCAGCAGAGGTCCCTAACATGGGAGGAGCGCTACTAGTTTTGACTTTGTGTGGTAACGTATTCATTAGAGATCATAACTTATTTGGGTTATTCTCTGCCTCTAAACTTGTTAAGGTAAAAATATTCTAGTTATCTTTATATTTTGTCGAACTTAATTACGTACTTTCAGGTGTTTCAACATTTTGAATATACGATGAATATACCGGACGATCTGGTACTAAATCGGATTCGGTGTAAAAAGACCAACGAAGAGGGAGATGCTAATAAATCTAAGCATCTCCCTCTTCGTTGGTCTTTTTACACCGAATCCGATTTAGTACCAGATCGTCCGGTATATTCATCGTATATTCAAAATGTTGAAACACCTGAAAGTACGTAATTAAGTTCGACAAAATATAAAGATAACTAGAATATTTTTACCTTAACAAGTTTAGAGGCAGAGAATAACCCAAATAAGTTATGATCTCTAATGAATACGTTACCACACAAAGTCAAAACTAGTAGCGCTCCTCCCATGTTAGGGACCTCTGCTGATAGTAAAGTGAATGACACCTGTTTCGGTTTCCTCAGAATTCTTTAGGCAGTGTCAGGTTAACATTACGAGAGTACTGCCAAAACCACTTGTCGCTGTTTTTTGATCAGAAGCCCCAAAATTTCTATAGCAATGCGATCATGTCCCTACCTACAAGATGAAGTTATCGAACAAAATGGCACCCACATACTTTAGTTAAATTTAAATAAACTTAATTAAAAACCGGCCAAGTGCGTGTCGTGCCACGCGCAGTGTAGGGTTCCGTAGTTGATCGTCGTCACCACAATATATTTTGGAAAGAGTCAATATTTAAAGCAATTACTTCGTCTAAATCACTTTTAATCCATAAATTGAACGATTATGACTTTTAAACTAACAAATATATTTTCACCGTTATAATTTTTCTAAATTAACTTCATAAAAAGCACTATTATCATAGAAACCCCTAAGTAATTTTAAAGGACTCATTCAAAGATACCCTACTCGATGGGGTAGACGATAAAAAAAATCTCCAGGTTACATGTAGGAGAGCTACCATAAAATAAACATATTTGTTTTCTATCATTTTGTCGGCATGATTGATATACATATCTTCACAAAATTACACCTCTCTAGTGCTAAAAGTCTCCAAGCAAAACCGGGGACGGCAGACAGACGGACGGTCAGGACTACGGAACCCTAAAAATTGTTTTGAATTTTCATATAAAATGCGAAGAAACTTTTCCCCAACCACATATTTATGAAAAAAAAATTTGGAAAGTAAGCTTACTCACATTGAGAACTATTATGAAGAAATCCAGGGTGAACAGAAACGACGTTATGGGGTTGAAATTCAGCTGAAACAAAAAAACACCGTGAATACATTTATAAGTGTATAAGAGGAATTAAAAAAAGAACTTAGATCCCGAAATTAATTTATATATATATATATATATATAAATAGAAAAAGGTTTTCTTAATACAAAAATTCTCATGGAAAATCTCGTGGTAATTTCCGAGGACAGCTAAATAAATGTTGGAGAGTAATTGCGGACAATCCAGTATACCATTGACAAGTTTAAAAAGAAATATATGATCAAGAATCTGTCTTCTTAATTTGAGATCCATTATGTCATATCTTTTTATTCGAACATTATGTCGGGTTAATGTTTCTGCTTCATTACATTGATAAGATAAATAATATAGAAACCATTTCTGTACTCGTTCTAATCTGGATTCATGAACATTGAAGATGGGAGACCAGATAGTACTGCAGTATTTGATGCCAGGCTTCATAAGAGAGTTAAAAAGAGTATTTTTGGTAGAATTATTATTGTAGTTTTTACTGTCAGTTTATTTATTTATTTATATCAAATACTTATATCTCTCATAACAGATATTTACCCAAGGCAATAGATACATCCATTTAATAAATACATTATAATACTACTGACAAACACAAAAATAATTAATTGAAACCGATGATCCACTCAGCTTGTTTTGTGAATTCATTTAGGGTACAAACGAATAAGTCTGCCTTTTTATTAATTCTGTTGATTGTGCGCAATGCACGCGTCAGTGGAGCCTCACTCAATAATTTAGTGCGTCCAGTAGAAATCACCAACAGGCCCGGCCGCCATGCCACCGACGCCAAATTTATTCTTTTGGAACACTAAAACTAATCATGCTTTGTATGCCCGGATTAAATATCTTACCCCGAAGCACATTAAAAATATAAATAACTAGCTTCAATTCTCTCCTAACCCTAAGCAGACTATATCCAACCATACCCAGAATAAATAATGTAGGATATTGTAATGGATAAAAGGGATACACTCCATATAGTTTTGAATACATGTATCTTACAAATTTATTCTGCACTTTCTCTATCATAAGATTATACTTCGGTTCGTGGGGGGCCCAAAAAATAGCGTTACATTCCATATGACTCCTAACTAATGTATATACATGTATGTACAAAGCGACGATGGCCTGTACATTCGTAAATTTATTTACAGTTCGTAACATGAAACCCAAAGTTTTAAAAGCTTTTTTACAAACGTCAACAACATGATCTCTAATGTCTGCTGTAAATTTCACTCCTAAGTCCCTAACTTCTGTAACCCTTTTTAAAGGTGTGCCATCAATTTTATATTCGTAATCAATGGGATTCTGTTTGTGTGTAAAAGTAATCGTCATACACTTGGATATATTGAAATGCAAGTACATTTAGAGTTCTTCACTACATTGGGTAAGTCATTTATCATGATTAAAAATTCTAATGACCCTAAGTTCGATCCTTGACTTACTCCGGACCAAGTAAATACAGATCTGACTTTGGCCCCTCGTACTCGACATACTGCTGCCTATCTGCCATGTAACTACAAAAAAACATTCAACAGATGTGATGTAAAACCAATCCGCGCCATCTTTTTAAGAATAATATCATTATTTACCAGATCGAATGCTTTTATAAAATTAAAATATGCCGCGTCCGTTTGTCCCCCTCTGTCTACTGATGGTATTATATCTCAAGAGGGCCAAAAGGTTGCGAGTGGTGCTTCAAGCTGGCCTGAACCCATGCTGCACCTCCGACAATTGTGAGTCTATCTGCTGATATAAGCTTCTGTGTATAGCAACTCGAAAACTTTCGCCGGAGTTGACAGTACAGCTACGGGTCTATAACCCTCGACACTTCTCGGGTACAATCTTGGTGATTTTCCATCTTTCAGGAAATATAGCTAGACTTAAGCATTTATTGTATATGTAGTATCAACCTCTCCAATTTTTCGACGTACTTGATCTACTTATCCGCTTATGTTGGGTGGACACTTGTTTGACGGCAAGCTGAAAGGCGAGACCCGCTTCCAAGTTGATATGTGTGTTGAGATGACCTTTGTACTCGTACAATAAATGTCTGCGTTGTCTACTGTGCTGTCATAGTCAAATTGCTTACACGAAGCAGGTGTTAACTAGACTTAGGTACCTTAAATTATCTTTTAAGTGTCATACATTTTAATTGTCAGCCGCATTCCTGTAAAAAGGCCTATTTTGCATGTTGGCAGTCTCCGAGCTAGCTTCTTGTGTGTTTAGGATAAAATGTTTACCTCTCTCGTTAGCAGTGACAAGCTTTTCAGTGAAAAGTTATCTTTTCGTACAGGTATATAGATACCACATTGGTTATTTAAGTTAATTCGTAAATTTACTGAAATGTAAAGTTACACTTCTTAAAATTAAATTATGTTGCTAATTTACGATTTTATTTATGTCGTAGCAAACATTTTTGAACATACAGTAATTCAGTTTACGTCACAAATTTTCACGGCCCCATTGTACTAAATTCATGAATATACCAATAAAATTGTATACAAACTTCGCATTGAAAAATAATTTATTTTAGAGCTGGTCTCCTATTGTTTACATAGTTTATTGATTACAGTAATAACACTAATGTTACCACAACCGTTTTATAAGAATATCAATAACATATAAATGTTTGTATTGGTTCTATTTCATTGGTATACCCTGCTTCTGTATTAGATCTATTGTTAATAAATAATATCTAAGTAATTTGTTTTTATAAAAAGCGCGTCAAATGACCCAAACGACTTCAAATAATTAACTCAAAAGAAAAATATAAATGTTTTAGGTGTCGGTGCTAGCAATTAGATTTTTACGTAGTTAGTCACGACATTGTAAGTAACAGAGTCCATTAGACAAGAAGAAATCATTGTTGTCTTTTGTCGAAAGTCTTTAACGAAATCGTAGAAAAATCAAATAAAATAAAATCAATGCAAACATCGACAAAACACAAAAAACAAAAAAGCATTCGCATCGCAAGCGAAATGACAATATTGCAATTGCCAATGTCATTATAAGGTGTCATGCGACGTTAGTTACGTGACCATTTAAAATCGATGTCATATTAATAACATTAAATTTTGTCTGAGATTCGGTGTTCAAAAAAAACTTCAATTTAAACGCGATTTTTTCTTTTAATGTATTAACGTTAAATAAAAATATTAATTTATTTGAGCAATTTTAAGACTAGTAAATCATTCAAATCTCATGATATGGTGAGTCAATTGTTTCGAATATAATAGAAAACTACGTTCCTTTATACGTTAAAGGTTTTATACTATATTGAGTTTCACCGCCAGCTAAGAAGATACTGTTTATCTTATATTACTTACTTTTTAATGCTTAACACTATATTAAACAATTATGTTTGTACTAGATCAGTACCAAAACGGTTGTTCGCTTTTAGCGAAATTGCTGCAAGTGGGCCTTAGTACATAATAACATGGCTTGTATGTTTCGAAAAATAGCCTTACTAAAAACTAGTTGACCCGGCGATCTTCTTGCCGCAGTTTTTTTTCGTCATTATATTCGAAATTCCTGATATACATGTTTAACTAGTCATGCCCGCTGTCAATGTGTTGCCAATATATTGAAAATCTCTCACAACCTTTGGTCTCATTCACTCACGCACTTTTCATATTATGAGATTTAAAAAGGATTTTTATTTTCTTTTACACAAACCTTGTTCTGATAATAACGAATCTAACAAAAAAAAAAGAATAATCCAATTTGGTGTAGTCGTTCGGAAGTCAAGCGCGTACATACATTTCGGCAATTCATTTTTTATTATCTAGATAGATGTGAAAGTTTGTTACTCAAGCACGCAAAAACGACTGAACATTGGCACACATATACTTTACCTTAATGTTAGGTTTATGAGTGGCTCATAATAAACTAAAGTTGACACGGACGAAGTCGCTCGCAGTAATTGCCGTCTCTTGTTGCCTTTGTAGTCACAGATATACATTTTTATAATAAATGACTATTAACAATCACACTATAAAGGCGAAAGTTTGAGAGTGTATGTTTGTTGTTTCATCACGTCTAAGCGGCTGGAGTGACGATTTTAATAAAATTTGGTATGGAGTTAGCTGACACCCTGGATTAACACATATTCTACGTTTTATTGTGGGAAAATATCCCTAATTAAGCGCGGGTATCACCGCGTGGCGCAGCTAGTATTGATAATAAATTTTAAACATGTGGCCTTGTTTTGCAGTCCCCCAGCAATGAATATTATCTGAACAGTCTGTACGTTATTAAAGTAACGTAATCACGTTTTACGTATGGGCGTAGCGGGAGACGTAATATAATATGGCTGACCTTGTCCCTGCCACCCTGTCCTAAAAGGAAAACAGGGTCGCTTATTTCTTTAGAATAGAAATTTATTTATATGTTTTTCGCAACAATAATGCTTTTATTTTTAAATGTGTGACACACACATTAAAGCGGCACACATAAAGGTAGGATAAGCGACCTTTCCAAACTCGGAGGCTTACCCTCGTTCTCGGTTGGTATATATGTATGTGCCGTAATTCATTCCCGGCCAAACAATTAATATGTTTCAACGGTGACTCAGCGTGTAGGATAAACCAGATACCTACTAAATAAACAGGCATGCCATCGTGTTATAAAATATATCGAGAGGTTAGACGCCGTCGCAGGAAATCTATAACCCCCTTATTAATAAACAAGGAATAAGCTTAGACTAGTTACGCCGTATTTTGTTCATATCACTCAAATGCCATTTGTCATTCAATAGACAGAGACAAAACATGGAGTAACTAATCCTAGCGTAGTCCTTGTTTATTAATAAAGGGGTAGAAGTTTAAGGACCACTTCTTCGTTGACGTTTTTAAAAAAACTCTACAACTTTTTCTCGTTCATCTTTAGCATGTCGCATTACATTTTTAAATGTTATTATAAAATTCTAATTTAAACTACAAGCATCGGTGGTGCAGTGGTAGAAAACTCGCCTGCTCGGCGGCCCCGGTTCTAATCCCAGTAGAGGAGGGACTTTTTTTTATTAAATATTTTAAAAGTTTCACTTGCCAGGATAGTTTCATAAAACTTTATCATTTTTTCTAGTAATGACCTGTTCTGGATTCGACCACTTATTTTTAAGCATTGTTCTTGTATGGACCACTTCTGCTTTTGACCACCGTTACTTTAGTGTGCAAAAATACACAAGCAAACAAAGTTCCATAAATTATTAGGGTAATATATATATATATATATATATATATATCAATTCGGTTTACAATATCTACATCTGTCTACGATACAGATACATTACAGAATTTTGTTGATTTTTTAACTTTAAATAACGTTTACTGCTAGTTCAGGCTAGGTCCTTTTCCTAAAATAGAACATAAAGGCTCGTTAACATTATTCATATATATATATATATATATATATATATATATATATATATATATATATATATATATAAAGAATAGATAATATAATTAGATATACAGCTCTTTGTAACGAGTACTACCAAACCATTTGCCCTGCCCGTCTCGTCACTCGTGCAAAAGAAAACCGTAGTAAAAAAAACGAAATGATAGCCCGCACCGGCCCAGTGAGTAAGGTGCCTTTCAGTAGTGACTTTAATTTTACTTTTTATAGCATAAACAATCGTAACCATAATAATCTTCTCATTAAAAAAATCAAAACACCAGAATTTAGGTACTGAATGAATTTATGTAAACCAGTTAGATGCAGATATTAGGTTCTTACGTATAAAATTGGTGTTCTATCGAACTGGCTCTTAATCTCAAGTAAGACGTCCAAATATAAAGTTTAAATCTAGGATTATATACTTGTGTTTCGAATTTAATGAAAGTGAAAAGATTTGTTTGCTTACCAAAGAATATTAAAGAATACTAAATGACTAAATCCTTAGTCGTAATTGCTCCATCCATTACCTTTATTTTTGTAATTATTGTTTGTAGTGTCCGACAGATATATTACCTGATACGTTATGGGTACTCATGCTCTTTTTTAAAAACGAATTAGACTCAATCAAGACTTACCGTTTGAAGATAGAAGAGATATATGACGTTGATGATTTCAACTAATGTCTCGAGACCCATTGCTACCACCCACGGCAGAAGCATGAATTTTATATCCTGAGAACAAAATAATGATCCACATTTAATCTCGCGTCATTTCCATTGACAAGTGACATCAGAAACTTAGCAAGTGGTTAAGATTATTTCTCAACTCTGGCTTTTTGGTACTCTAGATTTATGGATCATAGCATTTTCAATGCAGCGTTATCCTAAAAATTAAAACAGCTTGGCACAATATTCAAATCATTTTGAAACATACAGGTCGGGTCAATTCGGTTTACAATATCTACATCTGTCTACGATACAGATACATTACAGAATTTTGTTGATTTTTTAACTTTAAATAACGTTTACTGCTAGTTCAGGCTAGGTCCTTTTCCTAAAATAGAACATAAAGGCTCGTTAACATTATTCATAGCCTTAATAAGTCTTTTATGCTATCTCATTTTATGATAAAAAACCATAGCTGTTGCCGTGCACTTGGCAGGTTTGCATTCATTACTCATTCTCTTTTGACTCGCTAACTGATGGAGTCTGACAATTTGATGAAAAATTTTATCGCTATCGAAGGCTAATCAGGAATATTCTAATTAATAAAGAAAGAAATAAAAATTGCAAGTTTCCGTTACAATGTTATGTATGTATACAGGAAAATAAGTATTTGCGTGAATTTATTTTAAAACAATTATTCGTGTTTTATTTTCGGTGTAAAGAATAGTTGTTAAAAGTACAGTTGTAAGTAATAATTAAACATTTACATCATTAAAATTCGCTGTATGGGTCAAATCTATACTAATATTAAAAAGAGATGAGATTTGTTTTGTTTGTATTGAAAGTCTCTGATACCACTAGACTAATTTGAAAAAATCTATCACATTTAGAATCCTAGATTATCCCCGATGAACATAGGCTATAGGATATTTTTTTAAGTTAGGATTCCGTATGAAAATTTATAAAAGTCATCAATATCTACAAAAAAGTTCGCATTACAATGTGTCTAACTATTACAGTTATATCACAACTAGAGGTCCCCTGCGGTTTCACCCGCGTTATTTTGAGGAAAGAGATTATAGTAAGTCAAACTTAAAAAAAGGCATATGCTATGACCCTTTTTTATAGAACTTTTAAAGGGGAACAATTCCGTCATACATTATTTTGTGTAACTTAAACCGTTTACAAAGCGCACGCAATGGAAGCTCATAAATATTTTTAAGACGTTTTTGCAACATCTTTCATCGATGCTCCGCTCCTACTAATTGTAGCATGATGTTATATAGCCTATAGCCTTCCTTAGTAAATGCACTATCTATCCAACACAAAGATTTTTTCAAATCGGATCTAGTTCCGAAATTGCTGTTGAAACTGTCTACTGCGCGGCACCGAACAAGCCTATGTACGCATTCCACAAAAGTCCAGTTAAATTCACAAGCGTTTGTGACACTGCCCCTCTCTTAGATATGCTCGGCTCGAGCATCGTTGCTGCCGTGGTAAGGTGCCAGACGATTGATGTGGATTATCTTGGGCTTCTTCCGTAGACGCACACGCACATAATTGTATGAATATAAATTACACTTAACTTACATAAAACATTATTAAAGAAAAAACAAATTAGTATCTATTTAATTTAAACGCTAATAAAAACCGAAATTTTGGTTATTTTTTCCTTGTTGCTACAATACAGGTATATCATAACTTTACTATAATTTTAATCTGTAAACTTTAAATTGTTTAATGTTATTGTAAAAAATTATATTTCAATAAATAATAATAATTATTAAATTATTATAAAATTAATAATTATTATTATAAAATGTGATAGCTACAGCGTGGTGTAAGACAGGGTGACGTTATATCACCGAAACTGTTTACAGCTGCGCTGGAAGACGTTTTCAAACTTTTGGACTGGAGCGGACTTGACATCGACATAAACGGCGAGTACATGACGCACCTTCGATTTGGAGGTGATATCGTAGTCATGGCTGAGACCATGGATGACCTTGGCACAATGCTCGGCGACCTCAGTAGGGTGTCCCAACAAGTGGGTCTCAAAATGAACATGGACAAGACGAAAATCATGTCGAATTCCCATGTCGTACCCACTCCTAGTGACTGTTGGGAGCTCTACACTGGAAGCTGTTGACCAGTACGTATACCTGGGACAAATAGTCCAACTGGGTAAGTCCAACTTCCAGAAAGAGGTTAATCGACGAATCCAACTCGGCTGGGCAGCGTTCGGGAAGCTACGTAGCATCTTCTCGGAACATCTACCGCAGTGCCTCAAGACGAAAGTCTTCAATTCGTGCGTGTTGCCAGTGATGACATACGGAACCGAGACGTGGCCGCTTACAATGGGTCTTGTAAGAAGGCTCAAAGTCACCCAAAGGGAAATGGAGAGGGCTATGCTCGGAGTTTCTCTGCGTGATCGAATCAGAAATGAGGAGATACGCAAGAGAACTAAAGTCACCGACATAGCCCACAGAATTGCAAACCTTAAGTGGCAATGGGCAGGGCACATTGCTCGCAGGACCGATGGCCGCTGGGGCGGAAAGGTCCTCGAGTGGCGACCGCGTACCGGGAAACGCAGTGTTGGCAGGCCCCCCACAAGGTGGACCGACGATCTGGTAAAGGTCGCGGGAAGCCGCTGGATGCGGGCAGCATGGGACCGATCGCTGTGGAAATCCATGGGGGAGGCCTATGTCCAGCAGTGGACGTCTTTCGGCTGATGATGATGATGATGATGATGATGAATAAATTATTATTATTTCATGCATCCGAAGTAGCAGAACTGAAAGCTCTGCGACAGTCTTCGGGTTATAAGAGATATATCTCGCAGATACAGATTGTTCAACACTCTTAAACCAAAGATAACTTTACAGACTCGATAATTACCGAAACACTACCTAGTGACGGAGACAAACTTATTGAGTGTGCTCAGTCAATTCGTAGTGGGTGGGAGGGTGGCCGCGCCCAATTTTTTTTTTTATTTATCTTTCTGGTAAATCATAATGTCCAAATGCACATGGAACACTACGCCTTTATTGAAGGTAGTTTTTTTAAACAGAAATATTTCCTTTTTTTCCTACCGGTTTCGGAAACGAGACACTTTCTTTATAGGCAACCAGTTTCGAAAGAATAAAAGTTTTTTTTATTGGGAATCGGTTAAGTAATTAGATTTATTATGCTGATTCAAAACAGGGTTTCAAAAACGGCTGAAAGGGTTTATTTGGTAATTAACTGCTTCATCGAATCTGTTCGATATTGCATCTCTGGGTTTGCTGAAGTTTTACTTGGGTTTGTGTAAAAATTAACTTACCTTGTAAACTCCGAATATAAGCAATACACATGCTATCAGACCCAATGTGCTGCAGGCAAGTAGAGTGATGTTCAATGATACGGTAACTGAAACAAAAACATACTGTCATCCTAATAAATTTACGACTACGAGCTCATAAACCCTTGTGTCTATGGTACCATTGATTTGTTTCATCAATGGTGACTAGTGATAGAAGTATGTGTCCTTAGTGCCATTAAAAGAGATCCTAGTTTATATCGAAAATTAATATTTATATCTAATCAAAACAAATTTAACGACGCAATTTTTCTAAAAACAATGCGTCTGTAATGTTCCTTGGATTAACTGTTTTTGCACATGTTGGAATATAAGTTTTGCAGTCGATCAACGATTTTGACCTTGATTTCCTCTTCCCCTCGGATCACGAAAGCGTTTAGACGTGTGCACTTTATGGGTTTACGTAAGGAAAATAATAATAATAATTTTGTGCTTTTAAAAACAAGTCTTTTTGTGCATCAATATTGTTCCTGAAACCCGTTCCGGTACTAGGCGCTTACAACACGCAAGCAGTAGTCGCAAAAAACGCAACAGGTGATATTAGAAAGAAACCACCTAATTTGTCAACAGACTCATGCGAAACACCGCCCTTCATATTTCATTGCGCGTACCAGGCGTTCATAAACTGCATAACCGTCGCTACGAGACAGAAAGACACAACAGCACAGCAACAACAATAGTCTGTTAGCTGCACTGCATTCTGTGCTGCAGATGAGTCGCCGGCGCCGCCATTCATTCAGTATCGTTCATATACGTCACACATTAGGCTGGTACCGCAACTCATAGGCGGAAGCGATTAATTTATTTGTCAACATTTTTTTATTTTGTTTTTTCCATTCAATTGCATTCAGCTGATTTGTTGTTATTGAGAAAAAAGTCACGATGCCAAACATACCACGCTCTCCCCTACTGAATAAATCACATAGCATGTCTGACTCGGATGTTGCTAAGCTCGCAACTCCAAAACCATCTATGGGGGAGATTACTATAACACAAAGGGATAGCAAACGTCGACGATTATCAGACGCGGAAATTGAAGATGAGCACACAAATATCCGAATTATCATTCGCGAAGAGTTGCGTGATATGTTTAATACATTGCAATTGCAACAAAATTTGCAGATGGAGGCTTTAGAGAAACACATATCAGAAATTAAGATACAAAATGAAGCGATTCACAAAAATAACCTAGAGATTGAGAAAACTACTGGGTTTATTTCAGAAAAGATAAATGAAATGCAGTCTACTATATGCCGCATAGAAGAAGAACGTCATAAAATCGCCACCCAAATAACAAAAATAGAAGAAAAATGCGATGCATTCGAGAGAAATTGTCGAAAAACAAGCATTCAGATAAGGAATGTACCCAAACAGAAAGGCGAAACAAAGGAGAATTTGTGCGAAATTATACAGAAACTATCTTCTGCGCTGGGGGTAGATGTGAACAGGACTGATTTGCGCGATGTTTTCCGTATTCCAGGGAAAGTTGACCAGACGAACTCGAATGATAATAGCAGAATTCTCATCAACTTTGACAAAGAGAAACTTCCTAATGGCAAGCAGAAAATATAACTCTGCGGCAACCAAATTTAAAACAGAACAACTCAACTTGCATCATCATGTATTGGATGGACCAAAGGTAAAAGTTTATCGGAACATCTAACACCATTATCGTCCCGGCTGTATTTCCTGGCCCGTGAATTTCGTAAAACCATGGGTTACGAGTACTGTTGGACTTCTAGTGGTCTTGTATATTTGCGGAAGAAACAGGGAGACCCTTATATACTAATCAAGAACGAGGCTTCAGCAACTTAGGAGCAAGTGACTAGAAGACTTTATAACATACTATATTTTTGCAACTAATATTAGTAAGTACATGTTTATTTTTATAACACTTATCAACATTCGAAATTTACACAAATACAAACCATCCCCTCACAACACAACTACAGGCTTATTTTCCAAACATGTATACTACACTCTTGGGTTGAATAGTACGAAGTCTAAGGTAGATACTGTAATGACTTCCAAGTCCACATTAAAATCTAGTATGCATATATTTCAATGCAATGTACTATTGAATGTACTATTAAGTACACTCTTCATATATCTGGTGTATACATTCTATCGGAATAGATAATATCTCGACGATGGTGCTGATCAACTCACACTCTATCCTATGCTCAATGATAGCTCATTTGTGCAATATCAGTATATATTCTGGAACTTTTCCAACTATCTTTAAAAAAGCAGTAGTGATCCCCATACACAAGGATGGTGATGTGGAAGCAGTGTCAAATTAACGACCAATCTCACTATTGAGCACCGTTGGTAAAATCATTGAAAAGGTAATAAATAATCGACTCACGTGCTACTTAGAGATCAACCAGTTGCTTTCACCGAATCAATATGGGTTCCGCTCTGGTAGAAGCACTGAAGATGCCATTGCTAGCCTTACAGATAAGGTAACGGGATGCTTGGACAAAGGTGAGAAATGTGTCGTTATATTCCTGGACTTAAAGAAAGCCTTTGACACGGTGTCCATTTCTCTACTCTTAAACAAACTGGAATGCATCGGAGTACGTGGTGTGGCACTTGAATAGTTCCGTAGCTATTTAACGGATAGAACTCGAATAGTTAGGACGCTGGGTATGTATAGTTGTAGTTTGCCTGTTACATATGGAATACCTCAGGGGATCACCCTGGGCCCAACGCTGTTTCTGGCGTATTCCAATGATTTGTGTGATCTTGAACTAGAACAGGGCCATACAATTGCATTCGCAGATGATACCGCTCTAATATTTAAAGGGGAAACATGGCAACAAGTTCAAGAATATTCAGAAAATGGTTTAAAAAAGGTTATTAGATGGCTTGAGGAAAATCTATTAACCATAAACGTGCCCAAAACAAAGTACATCTGTTTCAGTGTTTATAGCTCTAAAAGACCACCACGGCACTTTGATATAAAAGCCCATGTGTCCTCATGCAATGCCGCCTCCGACCCAGATTCTGACTGCGACTGCCCAACCTTAATTCAAACAGATACCCATAAATACCTTGGCATTGTAGTTGATAAATATTTAAACTGGCATCCTCAGATTAGCACACTAAGCAAAAGAATTCGAAAACTAATACATATATTTAGGAACCTCCGCGGAGTTAGCGATTCAAAACAAATAACTAAAATTTATATTGCATTATGTCAATCGGTTTTATCATATTGTATTCTAATTTGGGGTGGTGCTGCCGTGACACATATAATAGAGCTGGGAAGAGCACAAAGAGCAGTCATTAAAGTCATGCTTCACAAACCAAGAAGATATTCTACTGCAAACTTATACAAAGAGGCAAAACTATTGACAGTTCGACAGCTGTATATTCACTTCTCCACCCTCCGTCACCACAAGTATGTTGATCCCACTACATTGCCACAAAACAAAAGACGAGTACGAACGCCGGTTCCTACATTTAGAACTAAATTCGCGCAACGACAAATTTCTTATATGTGGCCTTACTTATACCGCAAATTTAACGACCTGTCCCCAATCTATAAAATGAACAGAAAGAAGTTGAAATCTTTCTTACAGACAAAGTTGCTTGAACTTGACTGGACAAAGACTGAATGTCTCTTGAAAACCACCTGAAAAAGGGCATATTTTTACATTCAAGTCATACCCAACCCAGTTACTTAATAAAGTAATACAAATATGTATACATTCACTTACAAAAACAAACATACAAACACACCCATACCCAAATACATACACACACACACATACATATATATATATATTTATTGTAATTAGTTTTATTTTGCTTTATAAGGGCTTAATTCATTCCCGCAAAATTATTCTGTTATCTTCTGTAATATTATCTCCAATCAACAACTGTGAGCTTATAAATGCAAAATAACTGCACAATTATTGTTCAAAAATAGTGAGGTGGAGGGTTGATAACCTGAGATACAGGATCTTTGCTAGTTCAGGTATCAACCTGCCATAATCTTGTATTGATTTGTATGTAACATTTTGCTTCTGTTATCCCAACGGATTATGGTGAGGAATAAATGATTTATTATTATTATTTCTGTTGCTCTGTTGTACAAGCATTTACGGAAATCATTCCGTGCATATCAATGGAGCACCTTGTTTTAGAACTCTCAGAAATTGGCATGTTGTAGTAGGCTTTCTTATAAAACGTTTGTTAAATTGATAGCCACATACTTCACAACAATTAGTTTTTCGATGCCTTTCACTAAAACCACCAGCACCAGTGTGCATTTATTTGAAAATCACAAAAAAATGCTTTAAAATGATTTACTTAAAAGATGATTGCAATTGTTGAAACGTAGCGGAAACAGCCAAGACAGTTTTCTTTCTCAATGAAATGACAGGATGGAATAGGATAGTTTACTCATGTCGAATTGTATTAAATAAATGTTTATTTCTTAAAGTATTTAGTCTAAGGAACCTTAATATATCGATTTCACTTCATAAAAGCAGAAGATTGCTGTAGAAATTTAATTTTAAAAAATATTTCTTAGTCTATATTTTTTAAACACTAAAAACGCTGTTCGCCACATCCGCCATGATTTTGACGTCTCTTGTGGTAAACAACTAAATGTCATTCGCGTGTTACTGTAGGTGGATTCTTTCGTCTGACTAAATTTATCTTAAAACACTTTTAACTTTAGGAAAGAAAAAAACAGTAAACTTAGCTTTTTTTGACAAAACTAATTATGGATGCCGGCTTTGTGAAAGCAGAAAGCACAAATCTGCCAAGAATTGACGCATTGATGGTTGGTGAATTTGTTGCACTAAACCCCGATTTCTGCTCTGCGGAGCAGAGAAACGACAAGGCATCTATGTAAGTACAGTGTATTTAGTATTACAATGTAGTAATAAACATAAAACTGATACAACATATGAATAAGTGTAATAAAGTTGCGTAGGTTAATTTCTTTCGGCACTTTAATCCACAACTTTCCTGGAGTCTTCAAGGATGTGTTTTTATATTCTCGTACAATACAGTAATGATAATTACTTTATTTTTCGTGGTATTTATTAGAAATCATGTTTTTTTTTTATTATAAACTCAGCTAAAAGTAATTTTCTACGTGTTTACGAGTTTTTGTTTACCACAGTTCACGTCATAGCATAGATAATCTATAGACTAAAATGGCCGACAGCGTTTTTGTATGTCCATGAAAAGTCTATTTTAAAATTAAAGATTTGTAGCTTTCTAGGTTTAAAAAAAATACAATACATTTTTTTTCGGTGTAATAGAACATTCATGAACCATTTAAAACCTTTTTCCAAAAAGGGTCAACTAGCCTATTGTCAAATACTAATATATTTGCCCGTCTTTAGTACAATTTTACTAGCGATACTAGCATGTGTGTGGGTAGTACCATTGATGGTTCTAAGGACACACAGTAGTATCACTAGTACCATTGATGGAACAAATCAATGGTACTATAGTCACCAGGGGGTTATCACTGTAAGAATCGACATTGAATATAATACTAAACATTCACTTAGGTCACTCAGATCTCAAATATACAACAGCGTTGAAATTTTTGTTTTTTAAATTTATTTAAAAGGAGATTTTTCATTTTGGGCCAAGTCCGTGTTCGCAGTGGTGTTTAATTTGGGATCCCTTTCATTGAAATATGGTCACAACATTTGTATTGCAACAAGTTAATTACAAGCCTTTTTAAATATCTGAAAAATAATACAAACACTTGAATATTAACGTATTTGCATCGGAATCAAAAGATTTTAATAGAAAACTAGTAAACGTAAACTACTAAAAGTATTACTTTCATAATTTAAACGTTATGCAATATCAATCTCAAACAGGGATTAACGTTGATAAATCCAAATTAATACACACTTTCACTATAACTTTATTTCTGTGTGTTGAGACCTTGTGGTCTTTCCAGAAGAAGTAGATGTATGTCGCGAATTTCGTCCGAATTCTGTACAATTATCATTCTGAATTTAACCAATTGTTTTGTTTAATGAATCTTTTTTCCTTCTGCTCATCATCGATTAAAGAAGAATGAAATTATTTTGAATATCACTGATGATAAAACGCATGTAGAAACATTATAATTTTCTTTTAAAAAGCTTCAAGTTTTTTTCCTACTTCAATATATGAAAGTAATAATTCACATTTTTACAAGAAAGTAGTAGACATTTTGAAGTTCAAATTTGTAATAGCGTCAATAAATAATTCCACTCTTTTTTGGATTATTTGATAATAAAGAGTAGTGTGCATTTTTTGATTAAAGTTGTACCGCATGATCAATGTAAAATGTAAATGAAACGCCATTGTATCAATAAATAACTAATACTTTATTAAAAAATACCACAAACTAATCGATTAAATATGTAGTTCAACATCAAAAAAAAATCAATAGAGAGAGATTTTCAATTTCCGGACATGTATCACACTTTTAGCGATAACTTCAAAAACTGCACGTATTCGCAGCTGACTTTTATAAAGGACACGGCTAAGAAACTGCGCTTAACGTCGCACTAGCCCGTAACTTTACAATTATTTTTTAT